GATTGTGATGAGTTGTATGAGCCCCCAATAAAATGACTTAAAAAAAATAAACCCCAAATCCATGTGCAGACTCCCCCACATAGATTAAGCCTCCATTGAGTTCCTTCCGATCACCAGCTGGGCATGAGAACAATCTTGCCCCCAGGCAGAGTGCACTGGAAGCTGGAGTATCTCCACTCCTCTCAGACCATTCCAGGGAGGGGCATTCTCTCTTAGGGGCTTGCTTGGGTGTGTCCTGGATGGGCGGTAAGGGGGATCACATAGTCATAAGTCATGCCCTGTCTTGATCGAAAGGCCCTGACCAATTTTGTAAGCTCTTCTAACATAATATATGTGTCCCAATCAGGGTTCCATTCCAGTTTTGGAATTCCACTGTAAACGGTGATATTGATCTGTCACCGATCATGAATTCATGATCGTCTTCCTTTGTGTTCCATGACTTATTTAAGCAGCTGTGTGCTTGGACCATTTTGGTCTCATGTTATCAGTCTCCCTCATTCAGATGCTGTGTCTTTGTCCGTTTCTTGTCTTTGTCCCATGTCAGACTTGAGAAATGTTCTCCTCTGCCCCTGTCTAAAACTTTGAGGGCTGAGCAGAAAGTGGTCACTAAACAGAGTGCTTGGGGAGAGAGGAGTTTAGAAGATCAAAGGCATAAATATGACATGAACAGTTAAAACTTTGTCAGTAGATTTCCACCCCCTACCCCTCAAAGGATGTGGGCTGAGCCTGATCAGGTTACAAAAAGTTTCTGTTTGTATTGTTTTCTTCATGTTTTGTTTGTTCATATTAGAGTGCATCTCAGAGGTGTTATGTCCATGTCTTGAAGCTGTTATATGCTTTTCTGTTTTTTCGTATATAAAACCCAGAATTGATGAACCTACAGGGACGGCAAGAAGAATAAAGGGTTCAGGGGGAGGGGGTTACAGTGATGGGGGTGGGGTAAAAGAAAGACTATGTCATGGAGTCCATGTAGAGAAAGAATGTTTGGAAACCATGGTAGCAATGTATGTTCTACATGACGTGATTGAAATATGGAATGATAAATGTACTAAATCCCAACTAATAAAAGAAAATAAAAACAAATAAATAAACAACAACAAAGAAATTTTCTCCTTAAACTCTATTTGATATTAGGGTCGGGTCACCTTAATACCCTAAAACAATAGCTCAGCCATGTTCTACTTGGACAAGAGAGAGAAATGATGTGCTACACTGGGAGCTGAAATAGAGCTTCTGTCATGCTCTCACGGTCCTGATCTTGAGGCCAGAGAAAAGGATGTAAAGCATATTTTAGATCTTTATCAATTTCGCAGAGACTCTAAAGAGCAAAACCATGGAAACTAGCATTGTTCCTTGCTTTTATCAAAATGTCTTTTCCTTATATCTCAAAGCCGACTCTATTGACCCAGGCCTATCTTTTCAGACAACAAATGAATGCAAAACAGCATCTCATTTAGACCTGGGCCTCAGCAGGCAAGTTTTAATTAGTTGGCATTGCTCACAAAAGACTGAAAGAAAACATGTGATACACATCTGAAGGCATGCTAATATACATCAGTCTTTATTTTTAAATTGCATGACTTAATATACATCAGTCTTTATTTTTAAATTGCATGACTTACCCCTCCATCCCTTACACACGCCCACACACAAACTGGGATATCCCTGTAGGACCGACTCGGGTGTGCTATCAAACAGACGACTTAGAAGCATCTCCATGGAGCTATTTTCCTGTAACATAAAAATCTCTTCGCTAAAAAAAAAAAAAAACAAAGTCCATAGGCCAACTAAAGACTTCCTTTTTAATGGATTGAAATCAAATTTTTCCAAACCAGTGCTTGGCAGGAGACTGTCCCAGGTGATGGTAAGAGAGGCAGCCTGACAGAAAATGTCCTGTGAGTCTTAGGTAAGTCTAAGAAATAACTGCATGCCATATCCCCCTCTTGGAGGGTCATTGGACACCAGGAAAGCAATGGTTCTTGAGAGGGCCAAAGGGAAGACACTCATTGAATCTAGAGGACATGTGTCCCCTAACTCATGCAGCACTGTCTTTGTGGCACAGCGTACATCTACATATAACCCCCTCCCAGGGGGACAGAAAACAGAAAAGTGGGTGCAGGGAGACACCAGTCAATGTAAGACATGAAAAAATAATAATTTATAAATTATCAAGGGTTCATGAAGGAAGGAGGGAGGGGGGGGAAATGAGAAGTTGATACCAAGGGCTCAAGTAGAAAGAAAATGTTTTGAAAATGATGATGCAACCAATGTACAAATGTGCTTGACACAATGGATGGATGGATGGATTGTGATAAGAGCTGTAAGAGCCCCCAATAAAATGGTTTGAAAAAAGAAAAGAAAAAGAGTAATTTTCCAAACAAAAGTTTGGGAAACTCTGCTCTGAATGGTTCTCCAAATATAGATGAGGACCAGAGAATTATTAAATATATCTTTGCAAAAGGACGGATTTCCACACGAGACATTCCATCATGTGTATATTCAGTGGAATAAAACATGTAGTTATTGGGTACACACTGGCGCATTTTAGTTTGCTTTTTCTCTCAGAGTTGTCAATGCTTTTCTAGCCTTACCATTATAGAGGAGTCCTTGGGTGGTACAAACTGTGAACACATTCAACTGCTAACCCAAAGATCGGAGGTGGGCATCCACACAGAGGCACCTCAGAAATAAGGCCTTGTGGTCTGTTTCATAAAACCAGCCACTGAAAACCCTATGGAGTGCAGTCCTACCCTACGGAGCACAGTTCTACCCTATGGAGCGCAGTCCTACCCTATGGAGCGCAGTCCTACCCTATGGAGCACAGTCCTACCCTATGGAGCACAGTCCTACCCTATGGAGCGCAGTCCTACCCTGACACGTCTGGAGTAGGTATGAGTCACAATTGGCTGGCCTGTAATTGGTGGAACTGACACCATTCAAGAAACAAACTAAATGCTATTGTCCCTGTGATCTGTGAAGTCTACTCCTTTTCTTTTTTAAAATACTTTTACTGGGGGCTCTTACATCTCTTATCACAATCCATACATTCCTCCAACGTGCCAAGCACATTTGCACATAGGCGGCCATCATCACTTTCAAAGCATTCTCTTCCCACTTGAGCCCCTGATATCAGCTCCCGATTTCTTCCCCCTCCCTCCCCCACCCACCCTCCCTCACAAACCCTTGATAAGTTATCAATTATTTTTTCCATAAGTCTACTCCTTTTACGCTATAGCAGAAGTCTGCCTCTGAACTGACTGCTGTCTCAACTGCTATCTAATGCCCATGTGGGATCCGCCCATTAAGCAGCAGGTGTTCTAGAACACCGATCATCTCTCTGTTGAAAGCTTATCTCTGAAGGGGGAGCTTCCCAGCCCTATTATGACCTGGAATCAGTTTTCTTTGCTGCCACCGTCTTTTGATGGTCACCCTTGACATAGAGTTGAATTTGAGCGGGTAAACTTGGAAGGAATCCTTCCTCCTAAGGATTCTCAACCTGAAGTCTGTGCGTGGAATTCTATGGGGACCAGTAAACTTGGGGGATGGGGGAATGGACATGTTTACTGTCACAACTTTACTGACAATTAACTGCCATTGAGCTTTCCCTCTGGTCATGAATGTAGACAGTAAGCACGGGAGTATTAGGAGTATTTTCAACACCTGTGACTCTGTCACCAGTGGAAATCATAACTTGTTCATATCACATTGCAGTTGTTAAGAGCATTTCAAGCTATCATGAACAGTTTAAACTTAAAAATTGTAGTTGTTTTTAGATCCATGACTGGATTTTGTTCTCTAGTGTGGCTCAAAAGCTTCTCTGTTTCCATGTCACACTTGATTTTAAAATATTTTGATATCTGCATTTTAATGTCACTTCTTTCATAATCTGAAGGCACCCTGGTGACTCAATTGGAGCATTGGGCTGCCAGCTGCAAAGTCAGCAGTTCAAGCGTCTCAGAAACCCGATGAGGGTCCTGCTCTGTCCTATGTGAATGCCAGGTGTCAGAATTGATGACAACAGTGGAACTGAGTGAGTTCCTTTATCATCCTATGTATTTTATTTCAGGATTTGAAAGATTATTTTGACAAAGGGTTCAAACTCGTCACTAGGTTGGCCAAGAGGTTCACGAGGAAAAAGATGAAGGACTCCTAATTCAGTTCCTAAAGCAACGCTTGATTCCCTGCCCACGCCCTTCACACGTAGCATGCCTTCCTACGGAGATGCTTTTCTTTACATTCCACCAAAACCCTCTTCTGGCTAATTCCTCTTCATCTTTGATGCCCAGCCACCAACTTCTCTGGGAAGTCTTTCATGATGTCAAAGTCTGGAAGGGCCCCCTTCTATAGCAGATGGCCTGGGTCCCTAAAAGCTCCATAGAAACTATTGGGTCAAAAGTGCCCAACGAGGAACATCATACTGTTATAATGTGTTCCATAGACCCATTGGGAGAACTATGCAAGTCATGTTAAGCACTTTTCCTAGTGGCAAGTTGCTCTATCTGGTTTCCCACCAGCCGAAGGGACACCACCTTCTCCAAGACAGACATGCCCCCCGCCCCACATCTCTGGACTTGAATTCCAGTTGAGGTTCTCTGGGCACCCTTGTAGGAGGGTCTTGATTTAGGGTGACTGTAGACCAGTATTCTATGGCAGAAACTGGTTGGGCTTCTCCCTCTACCCACACCATAAGAAACTGACTTTAGGAGCTGAAACGAGACCTCCTCAGTCAAGGTGGTCCTGGAGATAAGGAGGCGATCTATGGATTGGGAGCCTGATTAGGCAGGCGAACCACCTCGTGGCTTGGGAGACTGGATTGAAGATTAAATGAACTGAAAACAGATGCCTTTGTCTTGGTCTTTATTAGAAGAGGTCCCCTTCTATACGACCTTGAATGCCCTATGCACCTACAACATGAACTGTGATTTTTTTGGGGTTTTTTTTTTTTCCCCATTACTTGTGATTTCTTACCAGTCCATCTCCATCAGGACAAGGGCCCACTCCGTGTTGCCCACTCTGCATCCCTTTGCATCAACTGTATCAAACACATTTGTCCATAGGTTTCCATCACTGTTTTCAAAACATTTTCTTCCTGCTAGAGCCCTTGGTATCAACTCCTCTTTTTTCCCTCCCTCCCTCCCCCACGCTCCCACCCACCTGAACCCCTGATAAATTACAAATTACTATTATTTTCTTACGCTATCTGCCGTCTCCTTTCCCCCATGTTTCTGTTGTTCGGTCCCCTGGGGGGTGGAGGGTTTATGTGCTGATCTTTGTAGTTGGTTCCCCATTCCTCCCCCTTCCCTCCCCACCTTCCCCCTACCCTCATGGTATTGCTGCCCCCATTACTGTTCCTGAGGGGTTAATCTGTCAGAGATTCTGCATGTTGAGAGCTCTTAACTGTACCAGTGTACATGCTCCAGTCTTGCCTGATTTGTAAGGAGGAATGTTAGCCCACTCTACAGGTTTGTCACATCAGTGAATGAATTATAATGCTTCCTCTCTCTTAGCTGAGTACTTCTCTACCCAATAGTGGTCAAAGAGCTTCCACCAAAGATTGACACCAACCTGAATTTCTGGTTTTCCATCAACGTACACAGTGCTGTTGTTGACCATTTCCACGATGGCAACTCCAAGATTGCATCGAATCCCAAAGGAAATGCAGAATCCCAGCCCACTCATGATGGCTATGATGTAACGCTTGGGGACCCCACAGCAGTGGCAGTCACAGAATGGGGGGCTTGGCCTGGATGCCTGCACTGGCCTTCCTTCTTCATTCAGCTCTATACTGTCCTCTTCCTCATTGGTCCCATCGATTTTTCTGCATTGAAAGAATGAACAGAGGAGGAAAGCCAGGCGTTAGGAGATTAAAAAAAAAATGAGTGACAGCTTCTCATCATGGCAGACCCTAGAGATAAAGTGCTCAGGCCTACCTCAAGAAGCTACAGAACACAAGGATGGCCATCTCAAGGAGTTAAGGGATGAACTTACCAAGCAATCTGAAAATGATCTGAAAGCCTTACAAAGTGTTGGGCAGATTGCGGGTGAAGTGCTTAAGCGATTCACTGAATAAATATGAGGTTAAAGCGACAAATGGACCAAGATATGTGGAGGGTTGTCGTCGGCAGCTTGACAAAAGTAAGCTGAAGCCAGGAACCAGGGTTGCTTTGGCGATGGCCACATTAACTGCCATGAGGTGTTGGCCAAGAGGAGGGACCCACGGGCTGACATGTCTCACTGAGGACCTTGGGAATGTTTCTTACTCGGAGGTTGGAGGGATATCAGAGCAGATCCAGAAATCAAGAGAGGTAACAGAACTATTTCTTACAAACCCAGAATTGTCCCAGCGTATAGGAATAATACCTCCAAAAGGCAGTTTGTTATACGAACCACCGGGTACATGAAAAACACTCGGCACGAGCCATGACTAGTCAGTTGGACTGCAATTTCATAAAGGTGGTTAGCTAGTTCTCCTGCAGACAATCACATTGGTGAAAGCGCTCGTTTGATCAGAAAAATGCTTAATTATGTCAGGGACCATCCGCCAGGCATCGTTAATATGGATGAAGTAGATGCTGTTGGGGGTCATAGGTTTTCTGAGGGTTCTTCAGCTGATAGAGAGATTCAGAGACCCTAAACAAAAGGATAGATTTGATATTCTGCATTGAGTTAAAGTGATCATGGCTATGAACAGGCCAGGTACTCTGGACCCTGCTTGGTTGCATCCAGGAAGATTAGACAGAAAAATACCTATTGATTTACCGAAGGAGCAAGCAAGATTAGATGTGTTGAAAATACATGCAGATCCCATTACAAAGCAGGATGAAATAGATTATGAAGCAATTGTGAAGCTTTCCAATGGCTTTAATGGAGCACACCTGAGAAATGTTTGCACTTAAATAGGTATGTTTGAAATTCGTGCTGACCATGATTTTGTAGTACAGGAAGACGTCAGGAAAGCGGTCTGAAAAGTAGTTGCTTCCATGAAGATTTAGACTCTAAATTGGACTACAAACCTGTGTCATTAGCTGTAAAGTTTGTGCTGGGTTCATGACAGACAATAGCCTAATGCAAAAATACAGTTAGAGAAAACAATGTATTTATTGGCAATGATTTCACTATAGGTGTATGAATAAAAGCATGCATGAATATACATCATGAAATTGGTAATTGAGTAATTCTACTTTTGAGAGTGGTACAAAAGAAATTTGTATGTTTGTTACAGTTGCATTTCTTGCAGCAGAAATTAAAAGGAGTGTTGACGTTTTTTGTATTTGTTGTGTGAGCATTTTATAAACCATTGAAAATGGCTTTAGAAAGTAGTACAAGAAAGCATTTCCTATAACTTATTTACTATCATTTGTTTCTTCATCCCCAAAATTTGAATAATATTTTTATTCTGTTCTCCTAAAACAAAGAAAAAATGTATCAAGAAATAGAAGGAAAACCCAAAGTAAGATGTAGCTTGCATCTTTAAAAGGAAATCATAATGGTTAAAATTATTGAATTTTTGAATATTGTGCTGTCCTTTGATAAGCATTGAGTGTTTAAATCTATAACAATGGGTTATTTTCATGCCCATTGTATAGTTATTGAAACTAAGTCATTTGAGGTAAATTCAACTTCAGCATCTCTCCTTAATAAAAAATTTACTGTTTCCTGTGGAAAAGGTAGTGATTGGACATTTACATGGCATGAACCATCTATATATCTATGTATGACCTTAATTTTGGGGTCCCTGGCTGTTTTCTAAAAAGTATCTTTTTATAATGACAAAAAAAGAAAAAGGGAAGGGAAGTACATTTGGCTTAACCCTTCGGTGAATCCCCTCTGACCATGGACCAGGATGTGAAGTCTCACTATCATGCAGAATGCATCGGAAAGTGGATAATTGCAGATGCACTTAGGTTAAACTTTTAACACTGTATCATTTGATCTTCCTTATGATCCCATTTTATATTCTCTGTTTTTTTTAATATTTTATTCTTTCTTTTCAAGTAGGTTAGCTATTTTCCTTTGTTATTCCTGTTAGTTGGGGTTTGTTTGTTATTTTAATGCTTTTCTGTAAATGAAATCCAGGATAAGTACATCTTTACAGACATAACTGTACTCATGGTTCCTTGGGGATATAGCACGGTTGGTTGGGAAGAAATAGAGAGCTAATAACAATGAGTATTAGAATGAAGAAAAGATTCTAAAGTTGATTATATTGACGACTGTACAACTCATCTTGATGAGGTTTAGATGATATGTGAATTATATACCAATACAATTGTTTTCCATTAACCCATTAGAAGATTCTTTTGTTTCTCTCTTTCAGTCCTATTAAAATGCCAGGTGCAGGTGCTATTGTTGTGTACTAAGCCATGGCACCTACTCATTGCGACTTTATGTTACAAAGCATTTTTTTGGTTCTGGGCCATTCTCTCATCTTCCAGCACCTATCAGACAGTGTCTGGTCGCTACCCCTACAGATTTTCTTTGGCTAATTTTCAGAAGTAGCTCACCAGGCCCTTTTTCCCAATCTGTCTTAGTCTAGGATTTCTGCTGAAAACAGTCCACCATGGTTGACCCTAACAATGTTTGAAATTCTAATAGTTTAGCTGTGACTATCATAGCAACACACCAGTCACCAAAGTCAAGAGACTAACAAATAGGTGGAGGCAGGGGCCACATTTCCTATCCCAACATATATCAAGTTGGTTGTGTATCTTTCTTCTGAAGAATTGGTCACTTAGAACTTATTATGTAGATCCCAAAGTGTTGCTACCATCCCCTAGGGACGCTGGAATGATTTCAGGGGTGGGGGTACAAAAGCAGACACCTACACTTTATTCTGGATACTAATGTTTTTCACTGCCAGAGCAATGTTGAGTAATTTTTTCTTTTTCCAAAAGGGGATGGTAGGTCAAATTAGTTAGTGAACTTATGATCTCGATGACAGGACTTTTCACTGACTCAACTCAACTGGCTCAAATAATGGTATGTACATTAGAGTGAATATACCATCTATTTTTTTTACAGCAAACTGAACTGAGTGGTTATTATCATCTTAGATATTGTAACTCTTTTTGAAGAAGGTGCTATGCCTGATTATGGTTCAAATTTTTGAAAAATAAGCAATTTTGACAAAATTTTATAAACATTAGATTCAATAATGAACACTGGTTAACACAATGTTTAAATTGAAAGAGAAATTACTTGGCATTAAACATCATCCTGGCTGTTTTTTATGCCTCTAGTTACACTATGTTTAAGGTACATGTGGAGAGAAATAAATATACTCGGCTCCAGTTCAGGTCTTAGGTGTTTGCTGTGTGTCTCCTGTGTGTGTCAGGAGTGCTTACATTGAGCTCTATAGTATATCAAACAGTGAGACTTGTTCTCAGCCCTCCTCCAGCTCCCAGTTTGTTTGTAAACCACTTAAAAAATCATTTGCTTGGGGGCTCTTACCACTCTTATCACAATCCATACATCCATCCATTGTGTCAAGCACATTAGTACATATGTTGTCATCATCCTTTTCAAAATATTTTCTTTCTACTTGAACCCTTGGTATCAGCTCCTCATTTCCCTCCTCCCCCTCTCATGAACCCTTGATAATTTATATATATTTTTTCATGTCTTATACTTATTGCTGTCTCCCTTCACCCATTTTTCTGTTGTTTGTCTCCCTGGTAATGGGGTTATATGTAGATCATTGTGATCAGTACCCACTTATCCCCCCAACTTCCCCCTTTCCCTCCTGTTATCACTACGCTCATTGTTGGTCCTGAGGGGTTTATCTGTCCTGGATTCCATGTATTTCCAGCTCTTATTTGTAGCAGTGTACATGCTCTGGTCTAGCCAGATTTGTAAGGCAGAATTGAGGTCATGATATTTGGGGGGAGGAAGCATTAAAGAACTAGAAGAAAGTTGTATGTTTCATTGGTGCATACTGCACCCTGACTGGCTCATCTCTTCCTTGTGAACTTTCTGTAAGGGGATGTCCAATTGTCTACAGATGAGCTTGGGTATCCACTCTGTATTCCCCCTCATTCACATTGATATGATTTTTTGTTCTGGGTCTTTGATGTCTTATACCAGATCCTATTGACACCTCATGATCACACAGACTGGTGTGCTTCTTCCATATGAGTTTTGTTGCATCTCAGCTAGATGGCTGCTTGTTTATCTTCAAGCCTTTAAGACCGCAGATGCTATATCTTTTGATAGCCGGGCACCATTGGCTTTCTTCACCGCATTTGCTTATGCACCCATTTTGTCTTCAGTGACCATGTCAGGAATGTGAGTGTCACAGAATGCAGGGTTATTAGAACAATGTTCTTGTGTTCAGGGAGTATTTGAGTAGAGGCCAAATGTCCATCTTCTACTTTAATACTTAACATATAAATATATTTATATTGATCTATTTCAGCTCCCAGTCTTCGTAGGCCATAAGGAGAAAAAAAGAGGACTTGCCAATGGATTATTACACGTTGTTATAATTTCTGGAAAATGCAGACTTTGTTGAAATTAAAGTGAGAGCAATGGTAAATCAAGGGAAAGAGCTTTTGATTTCAACTTGTAGGCTTAGATTAGAAGCTTAATAAATCCATAAGAACAGTAAATCAGTGCGATGGGAACTCTAACAATTTACCATTGCCTATCTACATTTACACCACCCTTTCTAAATACTGTTGTAGAAGCACGGAGGTTGTCTAAAGGAGAGTGCCTACGCATCTCTCCTAGGTAAACTTCTTTCTCTGGGCAAAACAAGGATCCAGGAATTAATGAAATGTCCATAGAAATGTTTCAGAAAGCTGGAGAAGCACTGGAAGC